ATACATAAATATTCATTTATATATCCACATAATTCATACATGAGTAAAATCCCTATTTCACAAAATAGTTCATTTATAACTCATTTAATCTCATATTATTCATACATCCTCAAATCATTTCCAATTTCATTCTTTGGAAACTATATCAATATTTCATCAATATTTAATCATCATAATCCATGAAAAATTATGATTTAGGCATTTAGGTAATCTCATGCTTAACCTACAAGTTGTAAGCAATTAGATGTCAATCCTCACCTTAAATGAGATTTAAAACTTTCCTTCTCGATCCAATGACCAAAGCCTCGGACAAGGAAGTTTGAGAACTGATTCCTTGCTTGGAAATGAGTGTTAAACACCCTCCTCAAGGTGCTAGTTCAACCCCTAATCGTTGATACGAAAACAGCCCCTAGAATGGGTGTTTTCCGGCTAACTCGTTTCCTAGTTTTCCAAGATTTGCTCTAGGTTAGTATCTAACCTTTACACCAATAAAATAACTTTACAAGGACATATTATACACTTGGAGTAGTGTATAATAGTTCCACAAATCGTTCATATCATTGGGAAAATGAAAGGAAAGGTTTTGGGGTTAAAACGCACTTAGAAGAGTAAATCTGTTTCTGCGAGGTCGTGTTCTGCTAGGAAGATTTGGAATCCTTCCACTACTCCGATTGATGCAAACTAGACCGTCACGGATTCCTCGTCTTGAGAGCTTTCTTTTGGTATATTATACGTCTTATTTGGACAAGTGAAGCTCAAGTTATGGATCAAACAAGCACCCCTATCTACTGGAAGACGAACCTGCAGCCAGCTTCTTCTTCACCTCTCTCTTGAAGTGTGTGGCTCTCCCCTTCTCTATTATCTCCAAAGGTTAGAATTGGGTGTTGGGGGGAGTGTATGGGAGACCTTAATCATGCTAAGAGAGCATGTGGCTCACAAAAGAACATGGGAGATATTTGGTTTGCAATCAAATATGGGGTGGACCTCCCCCTTTTGTTTTCTCTTGGAGTTTTTTGAGTACAAGAGGCAAGAGTCCGCCCCATATAGTCATCTCACCTCTTTTCCTTTGTCTTGCAGGTACTCAATTCATGTGGAAAGGTTCCCACTTGATCCCAATCAATTTGGAGTCCAAAATATCTACCAATACTTCCAAAAAATGGAAAGATGGGTCCTAATGTTTTATCTTTGTCATGAGATGTCTTTTTGTACTCATTATAATTTATGTAGGCCAAGTCAACCCCACACATCATAATATTGATCCCCAATATGTGTAGGATCATCCCAATAATTTACATGATGAATATTATAGAAGAAAGACCTACTCTCATTATTTAGCTCAATAATGTCAAAGAGGGGACCATAGGCATTTGTATTCTTCCCTAGTCATTCTATCACTTATTTTGACATTGTCATTCATATTATAGGACTACTATCCGTGTGGGTCACCCTCGAGTGAGCCTGGGACGCCATTCTTGGATACTTACTATTTTTAGCGGGTTGGGCCCAAAATAATGTTTGGGCCGCCCGTCCTCCCTCAACTTGTCTTGAAGGGTTATGTATCATTATTTGAGAAATGTTGGGCTCTTATATTCATTAATAAGGCCCAAATAAGTATTTGCAAACCCGACACTAATATACGAGTTTGAACAGTACAATAATCAATCATGCGCTACGTAAAACATAAATTGTTTTACAATCGTTTGGTAATCCGGAAATTCACATAAACTTTGAATTTTAAATTGAATTTTCAAGGAAGTTTGGGTGCGGTGTCACACCCGGCATGCTGAATTCCTTGAGAATACTAACATTAGTGGGAGTAGTAGTGGTTCAAACATTTGTGATGAACTTCAAGAAGGTACAGGAATGAATCCACTTATTATAATGCCCATTCCATCTAACTCCTCACTTGAAGATCATAGTGAAAGTCATGCGCCTCATATTAATGATGCAACAAGTCAAGAGGCGAATGAAACTCTAATCAATGTTGAACCAACTCCGCCTGTTACTACTGAAACTTCAGGAAATCAGCAACCTTTAAGGAGATCTCAAAGGGTGAGACGCCCCACGAATTTTGATGAATATTTGATATATTTGAATGAAGAAACCGACTTTGATTTAGGGAGAGTCATAGATCCTGTATCTTTCCATGATGCCATTAATTGTGACCAATCGACTCATTGGAAAGAAGCCATAAGTGAAGAACTTCTTTCCATGGAGAAGAACAATGTTTGGGAACTTGCTGAATTACTAAAGGGTCAAAAGCCCGTTGGAAGCAAGTGGGTCTTTAAGACTAAATTAGATCCAAAAGGGAAACATTGAAAGATACAAGGAAAGATTGGTCGCTAAAGGCTACACTCAAAGGGAAGGTATAGATTATCAAGAGACCTTTTCACCCGTCTCTCGAAAAGACTCCTTGATAGGCTCGTTCCGTTCCTATCTTTTCACCCATATTTGGGTGTTAATTTTTTAATTTTTATAATTAACCGAGTGACTATTGGGGGGTTTGAGTGAAAATTTGCTATTTTTCGGTCCCGGTGGCAGTCATATTGGAAATAGTATTTTTTCTACACAATTTGACATTTTTGGAGTAATTTGATTGTAAAGTTACATATTATTAGCGGGTGTGGTGAGTTGTTATTGTACAGACCGAGTTTGCGGTGAATATGTTTGGACCAGATCATTTAAGGACTGTTTTTGAAGTTAAGTGCAATCCAAAATGACAAAAGAAGAAGCAATGTTAGCAGCCCAAAAGAAAAAAAAAGGATCAGCTGGGTTTTTCCCTGGATCAGCTGATAAGCTGAATATGCTTATCAATCATATTGATAAGCATGATAAGGGCTAGAAAAATTGAAGTAGAATAATTCTCTGGGAAATTCTTAATTATCAACTACAGAAAAACATCTTCGAAAGTTAATTCAAAACTGAAACTAAGTAATGTAAAATATGTTTGACTTACAATGAATGTTTGAAATCTAAATTAACTTGGAGAAAATTGAAAGAGGAGTGCAGTTTAGAAACCGTTCTGATTTTCTTTCTTGCTGGTGCGGCTGATTCACCAAGGACAGAACGCAAGAATGGAAATAAACTCTGCTGCGGCTAATTGATTTCAGGAACAGAAAGAATCGTAGAGCATGCTGCGGCTAACTTAAAAAAAATGAAAAGGAAAGAATGAATGAATGTGCGGCTGCCAGTTCCAGGGAAAAACCCAGCTGATCCTTTTTTTTTCTTTTGGGCTGCTAACATTGCTTCTTCTTTTGTCATTTTGGATTGCACTTAACTTCAAAAACAGTTCTTAAATGATCTGGTCCAAACATATTCACCGCAAACTCGGCCTGTACAATAACAACTCACCACACCCGCTAATAATATGTAACTTTACAATCAAATTACTCCAAAAATGTCAAATTGTGTAGAAAAAATACTATTTCCAATATGACTGCCACCGGGACCGAAAAATAGCAAATTTTCACTCAAACCCCCCAATAGTCACTCGGTTAATTATAAAAATTAAAAAATTAACACCCAAATATGGGTGAAAAGATAGGAACGGAACGAGCCTATCAAATCTCCCCACACTTGAGCGTTGCTTGCCCCCAAGCAACAATGCATTAAACCCACGGAAAACAAAATAATCACATGTAACACCTGGTTCAAAAATCATTCACACCCAAAACAAATGACTGCACAAGGTCTTTTCTTTCTTAACAACGAAACCAAGATTCACATGTTGAACAATATTTTCAAAAGTAAAATCCCTCTCCAACCGACTAAAATGTAAAGAAAAGCATGATGGTCCCAACGGTGCAGGTGTGTGAAATCCAATCCACCAATCATTCCAAAAAAACCCAAGAATTGTGTGATAAAACTCGGAATACTCGTGATTCTTTTTTTTTTTTTTTTGAATATGTAAAGTTGACCAGGTTCTGGATTGCAGGACTAATTCAAGCTCTAGGGCCTGGGAGTTTATCTCATTACTGTGTACTCAACTCTCACACAAGGTGATTCGCGAGATGAGCAGAGCCCCATTTCGGGGATGAAATTCTCGACACACGAAGTGTAACCCCATTACAAGAATCAGTTGCCTACTTAGCATGAAGTTATCCCGATATGCTTAGAAAGCAGAGCTCCTTACGGAGTAAGGATTTTCAACACCTGGCCAGTCAAGGAATTATTAATGCGAACTAGTGAATCACGAGTAAAAACCGAATTTAATCAACACAAATCAAACCATCCAACATGCCAACATTTCCCAAGAATATACACACCACTCCGATGATTACACCATTACTAATTCTTTCCAAGAAAGATGGAGGAGATGGAAGATTACAAAAGAAAATAAAGATTAACAAGTTACCTCTGTTGCGTTGCTAAACCAGAAAAATCCTCATGCACTCCAAAATGTTTTTGGGCAGAATAACTTCATCACCAAATGTCATGTCCAAGCTAAAACCAACCCTCCCCACACTTAGGGGTGATATCGCCCTCGAGGTCAAAGAAAAGATTAAAACAGAAATAATAGGGGCAAGTTATGAATAAAATGATTTTCATCCCGGCAGCACATCATAGTCAGAATAATAACAATCAACACAAATCAACACAAGGAGTAATATGAGAGTAAACACACATTCTTAGCAATGTAGTAAGAGTTGGCAGATTACCGTACAAGCCAAACGTTGATGAATACCCTCCAAAATAACTTCAAATCTCTGCATCAAATAGCTCCTCGATTGCTTACATGCCGCTGAATCCTGCACACAGTCTGCCCCGTAATGCTACTTGAAGTCCTTCAATCTTGAGAGTAAGTGTAGTAACAGCTGCCATGTCCAGGAACTGCGCATTCTGATGACTTGATGAATACTGAGGCTGACTGGTTCATTCATGGGAGAAGAGAACAACTCAATGGAGCCATACGGATAGATCTCAGTCACAGTAAATGGCCCTGACCATCTGGAACGCAGTTTCCCAGGGAACAACTTCAACCTAGAATTATACAGCAGCACCTGATCTCCAACTCTAAACTCGCGGGATTGCTTGATGTGCCTATCATGATATTGCTTCACTCGCTCCTTATACAAATGGTTGTTGTGGAAAGCCATAGCACGCCACTCTTCAAGCTCATTCAGCTGATAAAATCTCTCCTTTCCAGCCCCTTCAAGGTCAAATACAACATTCTTCAGAGCCCAAAATGCCTTATGCTCGACCTCCACTGGAAGATGGCATGATTTTCCATAAACCAACCTGAATGGTGTGGTGCCAACAGGAGTCTTATATGATGTTCGAATAGCCCACAAAGCATCATCAAGCTTTTCAGCCCAGTCCTTTCTTGACCGACCAACTGTCTTTTCCAATACTGCCTTGATTTCTCTATTTGAATTTTCAACCTGACCTTGAGACTGGGGATGGTAGCCCACTCCGCTTCTGTGTTGAACACCATATCGCTGAAGGATACGGGCCATAGCGTCACTTCTGAAATGGCTGCCCCTATCACTGATCAAGATCCTGGGAACACCAAATCGTGCAAATAACTTCTTTAAGAACCGGACAACCACCCTTGTGTCATTCGTGGAACATGCTTGGGCCTCCACCCACTTGGACACATAATCAACAGCAACTATTATGAACTTGTTCCCTTTCGAACTCGGGAAAGGGCCCATGAAATCAATTCCCCACACATCGAACACTTCACATGGCAAAATATAGTGTTGTGGCATTTCATCTCTTCGGGATATGTTCCCAGTCCTCTGGCACTGATCACAAGCTAAAGCATAAGCATGAGCATCCTTAAAAATGGTGGGCCAATAGAATCCACAATCAAGAACTTTCCTGGCAGTCCTCTCTCCTGAGAAGTGACCTCCCGTGGGTCCAGCATGACAATGCATTAGAATCTCCTATCCTTCTTGTTCAGGTACACATCTTCTCACAACTTGGTCAGCACAAATTTTGAATAGGTATGGATCATCCCAGAAGTAATGCTTGGCTTCAGACTTCAATCTCTTAATCATGTGGCGAGACATCCCGGCAGGTTCAACTTTGCCCACAAGAAAGTTAGCAAGATCTGCATACCAAGGCATCTTTGAACTGTGTTGAATGGCTAGAAGCCTCTGACCGGGCTAAACTTGCAAGTGTACAAGTGCCGATATAGTAATAAATTCCGGTAAAATACCGGGTCGAATCCACAGGGAAACGTTGTTTAATTCAAGTCCGAAAGTAGATGACTTTAAATAAATAAAGGAAAAATTGAAAACAATAATCCCAACTATTGCTGGTCCGGTGAAAATAATCTCAACTATTGATTATTTTTGTATAATCCCAACTATATAGACTATCCGCCAATAATGGTCCATGACCATATATTATCTCTATAAAAAGTGAATTTTAAATAGAAATTAAGCGTAAAAATTAAAAGTTGAGATTATTTATAGGGATTACTTGTTATATCTCATCTCATCCACTTTAGAAACTACAAGAATTTATTCATAGGGACCATTATTGGCGGAAGGTCCCTAAAGTTGGGATTATTCTGTAATAATCAATAGTTGGGATTATTATGAGCGGACCGCCAATAGTTGGGATTATTACTATCAATTTTTCCATAAATAAATGAGTAAAGTGCAGGGATTTTTAGTTGTGTGTTGTTGTGAAAACAACAACTTGGTTCTTCTTTTTAATTTTCAGAGATATAACTTAAATTAATTTGATTAAAGTGATTGATAACAACAACTAAGGCTTCGGGAATCACTTAAATGCTTTAATAGGGTTGAATATTAGTTCTTTACCAATAATTATGAATACGATGTCGCTAATATATTCTCAACTCCGGTTAAGGCAGCGAGAGCGTGGTTTCCGTTACGTGTAAGTCCCGTTACGGCTTACATTCATCTACCGAAAACCCCGTTGAATATCAAGACATCACACCCGTATCATATAATACCGGATATATTTCTATTCTCGGTAATATATATGTTTATCCTTTAATGTTCATAGTTTAGACCTCAACGTTAATTGCAAGCATAAACTAAGTTTAACATACTTCTATGTTGTACACCATAGTCATAAACAATCAAAATGTAAAGGATAAATCACAATTTATTGGTTTAGAACTTTTATCAAACACCTAGTGGGCATAGAAGTTCATCCCTAGCCTTAGCTAAGAACTTAGCCTCTAATGCTCATATTAATTACAAAAGTGTAACTAAGAACAATGAAATACAATAACATACAAGAAATAATACTTAGAACCAATTGTAGAGGAGAGAAATTGCTTCTTCTCCAACACTTCAAGAAAATGCAAAAAGGAAATATAAAAACTGAAATTTAATCTTCAAGGATGGAATGATGATCTTGTTTGATGAATTGGGAGCTTTATATAGGCTAAAGATTGGCATCTTTTAGTCTATTCGAGCCCAACAATCAGGCATGGAAGATATATTTGATCAGATCATGAGGAAGGTGAGTTTTTCCCATCAAGATATGGCTGCACGTCTCTTTGTATTCTGCAGATTCGGGCTTAACCGGCGCCGGTTTTAGGCTTGACCGGCGCCGGTTTTACTTCGGGGCTGAAATAATACTGAAAAACACCATAACCGGCGCCGGTTATAGGGTAAAACCGGCGCCGGTTATAAGTCGGCCAACCGGGAAAATGGCAGATTAAATGCAACCGGCGCTGGTTTGGTGAAATTCCGGCGCCGATTTTGTCCTGGGATTTTGGGGATGTTCCGCTACGAATTTGGACATGAGTCCTTCACCAAAGTTGTAGATAATGAAGTCGTCTATCCACCAAAACTTGAATGACGTGATTTTATTCATCCAATCAAACGTTATGGCTAAAACACTGAGAGGTATGCATCCTGAAATCCCACCAGCAACATCTGACTTTGTTGGTTGATTGAGTCTTGTTCCTTTCATATTTTGGCCATGACGTCTTCATAACATTTGTACCTTATTGAGTTAGCATTCACATGAAACTCCAATCGAGTGATTTCGAGTTCTATAGAATACGTTATACTCAAATTATGGGCAGAACGTCATTCTCTTGGTCTAAAAAGTCGTTCATCGCAATGTTTTATGCTCTAGCTCTCATTTTGGGGGTATTTGCCCAATTTCTCTTCCTTTCTTCAACAAATACTTATAAATACTTATGTTAAACACAAGTAAATATAACGGCTATCAGCCTCTCATCTGGAAAAGTCTCTTCAAGCTCAAACTTTTTGAATGTCTCCACCACTTCAGTCTCTAGTCTAGATAGATGATCTGCTGCTTGGTTAGCGGTCCCCTTTCGGTCTTTGATCTCCACATAGAATTCCTGCAACAAAAGAATCCAGCGGAGAAGCCTAGGCCTTGCATCATTCTTCTGAAGTAAATACCTCAAAGCCGCATGGTCAGTGAAGACAATTACCTTAGAAAGAATGATGTAGGGTCTAAATTTCTCCAAAGCAAACACAATAGCCAAAAACTCTTTTTCAGTAGTGGTATAATTGAGCTGAGGCCCCGCTAAAGTCTTACTGGCATAGTAGATAGGGCGAAAGTGCTTATCCTTGGTTTGACCCAGGATAGCCCCAACCACTTGATCGCTAGCATCACACATTATCTCGAAAAAATGAAAAAAGAGAGAGAAGCAGCCCAAACCAAGGGGGTTCATCCATTCGTTTCACTTTGGAAATTAACCCCAGCGGCACTAGTTTTTTTCTTCCCCTTCCTGCTCACCTTGCCGCAGATCAATTCTGTTCATTCGAAGCACACCAGATTAGCTGCACCAGGTTTTCTTCTCTGTTCATTTTAGTTACAAGCAGCCGCAGGGAAGGAATTCTTTCTGTTTGTTTCTGAACCAATCGCAGCAAGCAGAAGTTAGAGACCAAGAAGCAACTTTTCTTCCTTTTCTTTGACAATCAGCCGCAGCAGAAAGCAAGAGACCAGGAATGCCTAAACGTCATTTTCCCTCAATTCTTTCAATTCAATTTACATTCTAAGTAATGATTGTAAGTTCCTGCATATTTTACATTACTTGTTTTCTGTTTTGGATTGAATTTTGAATTGGTAGTCTCCATCTAGTAATTTCAGTTTTTTTTTTACTATTAAATACTCGTAAACCAGTTTTTTGTTTCTAGCTCCACATATGTTTATTGTGATGTTAATTTTAATCATGAATAGCTAATTTCATATAGGGTTTGAATTGGGGCTAGGGTTCATGGGTTCTTGAGGGTGTGAATTTAGTTTTTTTATCAATTAATTTTCTGGATAATTGTATAAGATTAATCATAATTGTCTATATGAATTTGATCACCTCATATATGAATTTCTGGATTTAATTCAATTCTTGTCTATGAGAAATTGAGTTAAATTAGCTCAGGTCTTATACAAGCAATCTGACCTTAGAAATAAGTTAGGATTGTGAAATATTGATTTAAATCTTGTCTATGAGAATTTATTTCATTTTCTTTCCAGGAATAATTGAAAGTTAATTTACTTAATTCTAATCCCGAAAGAACACCCAGAACCCGAACCATCCAATTTGAACCCTGTTTTACTATCTAGAATCAATTTAATTTGTTTTTTCTTCCTCTACTTATTTTTGCACTCGTTGTTAGTTAGTTTTTTTATTTTATTTTATCACCCACAAATAATTATTTGGAAAGATTACCATGACTTGTGCTAGCCTGTGATCACGGATTGTATGTAAAAACTTCCTTTTTGCCACTCCTTGAGAGACGATACTCGTGGTCTGGTTATTCTTAGGATTAACCAACTAAAAAAATACACCGATCAAATGGCGCCGTTGCCGGGGAGTGGCACGGTTGTTTGTTAAGTACTTTCTGTGGAATAGGTAAAAGCAAGCCGGTGAGACTTTCTATTTTTTGTCTGTTATTTGTTTGTTGTTTTTGGTATTTTTTGCACGTGAACTAAGCTGCAGGAACCGGTGTATGCACACACGTACTCGGGGAACTGAAGGCTTGATCCCATTGAATCCAAACCCCGAGAGTATTTTGAGAAGAAGAAAAGGAAGGTCAAGAAACATGGCCGGAGAACATCAGCCCGCAAGGAGGACAATGTATGAACAAATTACTCCGCAATTTGCAGAGGTTGATGGAATAACCATGCCGGGCATTGAAGCTGCAAATTACCAACTATCCCCCGGGTTAATCAATCTAGCCCAGAGTAACCAGTTCGGAGGGATGAGACATGAAGATGCCCAGACACATATGCGTTGGTTCAACCGTCTCTGTCGGACTTCCCGAATCAATGGAGTTTCTGAAGCAGCTAACAAACTACTTTTGTTCCCATTCACTCTAAGGGACAAGGCGCAACACTGGCTCGATAGCCACACTTTTGCCACCTGGGATGAATTATACCAAGCTTTCATGAAACAGTACTGCCCAGCATCCGCAGGAATCAAAGCCAAGGCAGCCCTCCAGAACTTTAGGCAAGGGAGGAACGAGACATTGAGTGAGGCATGGGAGCGGTATAAGGAGCTCCGAATTAACTGTCCATCCAACATCATGGAGAGCATGGACACCATATTTCACTTCTACAATGGGCTGTCCATTGAGAGCAAAAAGGAGTTGGATTACTCTTCTAAAACAGGTTCAATCCTAAGGCTAACATCAGGAGAAGGTGAAGAACTGATAGAGACTATTACCTCAAATGAGTAGAGGTACTGGTATGATGAGCGAAGTGAAAGAGCGCCACAGAAGGCAGGATTATATGAGGTTGATTCTAGTACAGCTGCTGCCGCAAAACTGGATGCTCTTGTCCTAAAATTTGAGAAACTCTATGAAGCTCAGGCGCAGAACCAATACCAAGGTGGGCAGGGGATGAACCAGAGGAGTGTTCGACCAATGCCAAACCAGAATCCAGTGAGAGACATGGTGCTTTCGTGTGATCATTGTTTCGGAGCCCACCTGACCAATTCATGTCCTCAATTCTTTGAAGAGCCCATTTCACCTCAAGAAGTAAATCTTATGGAATATGCTAAGAAAGGAGAGGGTCCACTAGCACCTCAATACCAAGGAAACCGAGGTAACTTTGCTGGCTACAACAACCAGAGGAATAATTTTCAGAGTGGTGCGAACCAGTGGAGAGATAATAATCGCCAAGGAGGGTACCAACGAGGCCAAGGAAGTGGCAGCAACCAGCCTTATGTGCCCCCACATATCAGACAACAAGATAATTCAGCTCATTCCCAACTAGATTTGGTGCTTGCAGAGCTGACACGGGCTAGAGAAGAAAATGAATTAAGAGATAAAAGGGCAAGAGAGGAAAAGATATTGATGGAGCAGCGGTTGAGGAACCTTGAGCTGCAACATGAGCAACGAATGCGGGAACTAGAGAACAGATTCTTTGGAGGTCCTTCCGGGAGGCAGTCTGGAAGCCTTCCCAGCACTACAGAGCCAAACCCAAGAGAGCATGTGAATGCAATAAATCTGCGCAGCGGGAAGCAAGTTCCTGAACCAATGGTGGATGCGAAGGAGAGCCAAGCCAAGAATGTTCCTAGCTGTCCAGGAAAGAGTGCAGAGCCAGTCAATGTCCCAAAACCTATTCAAAGACAATCTGAAGATGAACTAGAGTTCAATTCTGAACAGCCAGGCCAGAGAGAGGGCAAGGCAATCATCGAGCCGAATACACTTCAACAAGAGGCCAAGAGGGCTAATGCACCAGTTGTTCCATTCCCTGCTCGTGTCAAGAAGGGCGAGGACCGCAAGAGAGAATACAAGTTTATGGAGATGATTCGCAAACTACATGTGGATATGCCACTCACAGAAGTACTTGCGGAGATGCCTAAATATGCAAAGTTCCTGAAGGACTTAATCACCAACAAAAAGAGGCTGGAGGAGTACTCTGTGGTTGACCTAAATGCTGAGTGTTCAGCTGTGGTGACAAAAATGATGCCGGAAAAGCTCAAGGATCCAGGTTCTTTCACCATACCTTGTTCTATTCATGATTATGTTTTTAAAAATGCACTAGTTGATCTAGGAGCCAGCATCAACTTGATGCCAGCTTCTCTTGTTAATAAGTTGGGACTGGGTGGAATGAAACCCACTAGGATGTGTCTTCAATTAGCTGATCGCTCTGTTAAGTACCCGAGTGGTATTATTGAGGACGTCCTAGTCAGGGTTGGTGAGTTTATTTTTCCAGTAGATTTTGTCGTTATGGATATAGAGGAGGATCGTGGTACCCCTCTTATTTTGGGGCGGCCCTTCTTGGCCACTGCCCGTGCTATTATTGATGTGTCTGATGGTTCACTGACTTTGAAAATTGGAGAGGACACTTGTACTTTTCGACTCTCAGAAGCTATGAACCACCCCGAGGCACAAACTGAGAGCTGTAATTTTCTTCATATGTATGATTGCATTGAGGATTAATTGTTCTGATGATACTGCATGTGGTGAGGTCTTAAATGTGGGTATGTGTGATGATGAAATGTTATCTCATGAACTTAAATGCTGTGTTGATGATTTGCTAGGAGAAGCCTCTCAAGAGGTTATAGGTAATATTGTTGTTGATACACCCTCATCTGAGCAGTTTTCTGAGCTCAAAAGGCTCCCGGAACACCTACAGTACGCTTCATTGGATGATGAGGGCAAACACCCCATTATCATTGCTTCTGATTTAGAGAGAGATGAAAAAGATAAGGTTGTGTCCTTTCTTTATAAGAGGGTGAGAGTAATTGTTCTGATGATACTGCATGTGGTGAGGTCTTAAATGTGGGTATGTGTGATGATGAAATGTTATCTCATGAACTTAAATGCTGTGTTGATGATTTGCTAGGAGAAGCCTCTCAAGAGGTTATAGGTAATATTGTTGTTGATACACCCTCATCTGAGCAGTTTTCTGAGCTCAAAAGGCTCCCAGAACACCTACAGTACGCTTCATTGGATGATGAGGGCAAACACCCCATTATCATTGCTTTTGATTTAGAGAGAGATGAAAAAGATAAGGTTGTGTCCTTACTTAGGCGGCGTGAAGGGGCCATTGCTCGCACGCTAGGGGATATTAAGGGGATCGATCCTACCTTTTGCACACATAGGATTAGCATTGAGGAAGGGTTCAGCCCGACAGTGCAACCACTGCGCAGGTTGAACCCTAATTTGATGGAGTTTGTGAGAACCGAGATTTTGAGGCTTTTAGATGCAGACATTATATACCCAATTTCTGATAGTAGTTGGGTGAGTCCTATTCATATGGTTCCTAAGAAAGGGGGAATGACTGCTGTTGAGAATGACAAAGGGGAGTTAATACCTACTCGCATTGTGTCAGGGTGGCGGATGGTGATTGATTACCGAAAACTAAATGATGCCACCCAGAAGGACCACTTCCCTTTGCCATTTATTGATCAGCTAGTTGAGAATTTAGCAGGGCACGGGTATTATTGTTTCTTAGATGGGATGAGTGGGTACTTTCAGATTCATGTAGACCCTAGAGATCAGGAGAAGACCACTTTTACTTGTCCCTTTGGCACTTTTGCTTTCCGTAGGATGCCCTTCGGCTTGTGTAATGCTCCTGCTACATTTATGCGTTGTATGCTAGCCATTTTTGACAGGTTTATTGGAGATTTCATGGAAGTATTTATGGATGATTTTTCTGTGTTCGGTGATACTTTTGACTCTTGCTTAACTAACCTTGACAGGGTGCTTGCTAGATGTGAGGAGACCCACTTGGCCTTAAGTTGGGAGAAATGCCACTTTATGGTCAGGGAGGGCATTGTTTTAGGGCATAAGGTTTCTGAAAAGGGAATTGAGGTTGATAAGGCGAAGGTCGAGGCTATAGAGAAACTTCCGTATCCAACCACAGTAAAAGCCATCTGTAGCTTTCTTGGGCACGCTGGCTTTTACCGCCGGTTCATACAGGATTTCTCTAAGATTGCCCGACCTTTGACTAATCTTTTAGGGAAAGATGTACCTTTTGATTTTTCACATGATTGTGTTGTTGCTTTTGATACTTTGAAAAGGAAATTGACTGAGGCTCCCATTCTTGCTACACCCGATTGGTCTTTACCTTTCGAGATAATGTGTGATGCTAGCGATCAAGTGGTTGGGGCTATCCTGGGTCAAACCAAGGATAAGCACTTTCGCCCTATCTACTATGCCAGTAAGACTTTAGCGGGGCCTCAGCTCAATTATACCACTACTGAAAAAGAGTTTTTGGCTATTGTGTTTGCTTTGGAGAAATTTAGACCCTACATCATTCTTTCTAAGGTATTTGTCTTCACTGACCATGCGGCTTTGAGGTATTTACTTCAGAAGAATGATGCAAGGCCTAGGCTTCTCCGCTGGATTTTGTTGTTGCAGGAATTCTATGTGGAGATCAAAGACCGAAAGGGGACTGCTAACCAAGCAGCAGATCATCTATCTAGACTAGAGACTGAAGTGGTGGAGACATTCAAAAAGTTTGAGCTTGAAGAGACTTTTCCAGATGAGAGGCTTCTAGCCATTCAACACAGTTCAAAGATGCCTTGGTATGCAGATCTTGCTAACTTTCTTGTGGGCAAAGTTGAACCTGCCGGGATGTCTCGCCACATGATTAAGAGATTGAAGTCTGAAGCCAAGCATTACTTCTGGGATGATCCATACCTATTCAAAATTTGTGCTGACCAAGTTGTGAGAAGATGTGTACCTGAACAAGAAGGATAGGAGATTCTAATGCATTGTCATGCTGGACCCACGGGAGGTCACTTCTCAGGAGAGAGGACTGCCAGGAAAGTTCTTGATTGTGGATTCTATTGGCCCACCATTTTTAAGGATGCTCATGCTTATGCTTTAGCTTGTGATCAGTGCCAGAGGACTGGGAACATATCCCGAAGAGATGAAATGCCACAACACTATATTTTGCCATGTGAAGTGTTCGATGTGTGGGGAATTGATTTCATGGGCCCTTTCCCGAGTTCGAAAGGGAACAAGTTCATAATAGTTGCTGTTGATTATGTGTCCAAGTGGGTGGAGGCCCAAGCATGTTCCACGAATGACACAAGGGTGGTTGTCCGGTTCTTAAAGAAGTTATTTGCACGATTTGGTGTTCCCAGGATCTTGATCAGTGATAGGGGCAGCCATTTCAGAAGTGACGCTATGGCCCGTATCCTTCAGCGATATGGTGTTCAACACAGAAGCGGAGTGGCCTACCATCCCCAGTCTCAAGGTCAGGTTGAAAATTCAAATAGAGAAATCAAGGCAGTATTGGAAAAGACAGTTGGTCGGTCAAGAAAGGACTGGGCTGAAAAGCTTGATGATGCTTTGTGGGCTATTCGAACATCATATAAGACTCCTGTTGGCACCACACCATTCAGGTTGGTTTATGGAAAATCATGCCATCTTCCAGTGGAGGTCGAGCATAAGGCATTTTGGGCTCTGAAGAATGTTGTATTTGACCTTGAAGGGGCTGGAAAGGAGAGATTTTATCAGCTGAATGAGCTTGAAGAGTGGCGTGCTATGGCTTTCCACAACAACCATTTGTATAAGGAGCGAGTGAAGCAATATCATGATAGGCACATCAAGCAATCCCGCGAGTTTAGAGTTGGAGATCAGGTGCTGCTGTATAATTCTAGGTTGAAGTTGTTCCCTGGGAAACTGCGTTCCAGATGGTCAGGGCCATTTACTGTGACTGAGGTCTATCCGTATGGCACCATTGAGTTGCATGATCCTGCAAGGGGAAACTTTAAGGTTAATGGTCATCAAGTGAAGCTCTATTATGGCGAGAAAGTGAGCACTGAAAGGGAGGTTCTTTATCTTAAGGAGATTAGCGGCTAAGCATGATCTATCGTCAAGCTAGTGACGTTAAAGAAGCGCTTCTGGGAGGCAACCCACCATAAAAAAAAATAGAATTAGGAGTTTTTGTTTTCTTTTGCACTTTTGTTTCTGTTGTTTTATGTTTTCATCTTGTGGTTGTGGGGGTGGATTTCTTTGCTCTGAATTACAGGTACGACATGGAGATCTTGGACTGCTGGTGGAAGAAGCGCAGCCCTATGTAGAGGAGCCTCCCAAGGGCTGCCAGTTGGTGTACTTAACAGAAGGTCCATGAGTGATATGAGAGCAAAGCATTTACTTTTGAGGACTAGAGCGATGAGACGTCCAATAGCTATTTTGGGTGTTTCGGTGGGACAAGATTCAGGGACTAGAGCGCAGCCAGAACGCGAGCAAGTTCAGGGCAGCAGTCCACACTTCAAATTAGGCCTCGGGTCACCACACTTCAGAGGACGAACTGTCCAGCTTTATCCTTCTAGCATTGAGACCTAAACTAGAGAAGAGTTTTTCTAGCTGGCATGAACGAGCAAACTGAGATCAATACCAAAAGTGCATCCATGTCACCAGAAACTCAATATGTGCAGCCCTAGTAAAGCAGCCTTTACTATGTTTACTCAGAAGTTGAGGGATTTGATGCACACCACCTGGACTTCCCATCATCAGAGTCATAGAGCCCTCAAATGCAAACGAGATCCAAGAGCAATCAATCGCAGAGATTCAAGGTTATTCAAAGTTTTTCTGGAGGTTATTCACTGCCGTTTGTCTTGTATGGTAATTTGCCAACTTTTACTACGCTGCTAAGAATGTGTGTTTACTCTCATATTACTCCTTTGTTGATTTGTGTTGATTGTTATTATTCTGACTATGATGTGCTGTCGGGATGAAAATCATTTTATTCTTAACTTGCCCCTATTATTTCTGTTTTAATCTTTTCTTTGACCTCGAGGGCGATGTCACCCTTAAGTGTGGGGAGGTTTGGTTGTAGTTGGACATGGCATTTGGCGATGAAGTTATTCTATCCAAAAACATTTTGAGGTGCACGAGGATTTTTCTGGTTTAGCAACGCAACAGAGGTAACTTGTTAATCTTTATTTTCTTTTGTAATCTTCCATCTCCTCCATCTTTCTTGGAAAGAATTAGTAATGGTGTAATCATCGGAGTGGTGTGTATATTCTTGGGAAATGTTGGCATGTTGGATGGTTTGATTTGTGTTGATTAAATTCGGTTTTTACTCGTGATTCACTAGTTCGCATTAATAATTCCTTGACTGGCCAGGTGTTGAAAATCCTTACTCCGTAAGGAGCTCTGCTTTCTAAGCATATCGGGATAACTTCATGCTAAGTAGGCAACTGATTCTTGTAATGGGGTTACACTTCGTGTGTCGAGAATTTCATCCCCGAAATGGGGCTCTGCTCATCTCGCGAATCACCTTGTGTGAGAGTTGAGTACACAGTAATGAGATAAACTCCCAGGCCCTAGAGCTTGAATCAGTCCTGCAATCCAGAACCTGGTCAACTTTACATATTCAAAAAAAAAAAAAGAATCACGAGTATTCCGAGTTTTATCACACAATTCTTGGGTTTTTCTGGAATGATTGGTGGTTTGGATTTCACACACCTGCACCGTTGGGACCATCATGCTTTTCTTTACATTTTAGTCGGTTGGAGAGGGATTTTACTTTTGAAAATATTGTTCAACATGTGAATCTTGGTTTCGTTGTTAAGAAAGAAAAGACCTTGTGCAGTCATTTGTTTTGGGTGTGAATGATTTTTGAACCAGGTGTTACATGTGATTATTTTGTTTTCCGTGGGTTTAATGCACTGTTGCTTGGGGGCAAGCAACGCTCAAGTGTGGGGAGATTTGATAGGCTCGTTCCGTTCCTATCTTTTCACCCATATTTGGGTGTTAATTTTTTAATTTTTATAATTAACCGAGTGACTATTGGGGGTTTGAGTGAAAATTTGCTATTTTTCGGTCCCGGTGGCAGTCATATTGGAAATAGTATTTTTTCTACACAATTTGACATTTTTGGAGTAATTTGATTGTAAAGTTACATGTTATTAGCAGTTGTGGTGAGTTGTGATTTAACAGGCCGAGTTTGCGGTGAATATGTTTGGACCGGATCATTTAAGGACTGTTTTTGAAGTTAAGTGCAATCCAAAATGAAAAAAGAGAGAGAAGCAGCCCAAACCAAGGGGGTTCATCCATTCGTTTCACTTCGGAAATTAACCCCAGCGGCACTAGTTTTTTTCTTCCCCTTCCTGCTCACCTTGCCGTAGATCAATTCTGTTCATTCGAAGCACACCAGATTAGCTGCACCAGGTTTTCTTCTCTGTTCATTTTAGTTACAAGCAGCCGCAGGGAAGGAATTCTTTCTGTTTGTTTCTGAACCAATCGCAGCAAGCAGAAGTTAGAGACCAAGAAGCAACTTTTCTTCCTTTTCTTTGACAATCAGCCGCAGCAGAAAGCAAGAGACCAGGAATGCCTAAACGTCATTTTCCCTCAATTCTTTCAATTCAATTTACATTCTAAGTAATGATTGTAAGTTCCTGCATATTTTACATTACTTGTTTTCTGTTTTGGATTTAATTTTGAATTGGTAGTCTCCATCTAGTAATTTCAGTTTTTTTTTTACTATTAAATACTCGTAAACCAGTTTTTTGTTTCTAGCTCCACATATGTTTATTGTGATGTTAATTTTAATCATGAATAGCTAATTTCATATAGGGTTTGAATTGGGGCTAGGGTTCATGGGTTCTTGAGGGTGTGAATTTAGTTTTTTTTATCAATTAATTTTCTGGATAATTGTATAAGATTAATCATAATTGTCTATATGAATTTGATCACCTCATATATGAATTTCTGGATTTAATTCAATTCTTGTCTATGAGAAATTGAGTTAAATTAGCTCAGGTCTTATACAAGCAATCTGACCTTAGAAATAAGTTAGGATTGTGAAATATTGATTTAAATCTTGTCTATGAGAATTTATTTCATTTTCTTTCCAGGAATAATTGAAAGTTAATTTACTTAATTCTAATCCCAAAAGAACACCCAGAACCCGAACCATCCAATTTGAACCCTGTTTTACTATCTAGAATCAATTTAATTTGTTTTTTCTTCCTCTACTTATTTTTGCACTCGTTGTTAGTTACTTTTTTTATTTTATTTTATCACCCAAAAATAATTATTTGGAAAGATTACCATGACTTGTGCTAGCCTGTGATCACGGATTGTATGTAAAAACTTCCTTTTTGCCACTCCTTGAGAGACGATACTCGTGGTCTGGTTATTCTTAGGATTAACCAACTACGTTTTACTCACTAAAAAAATACACTGATCACTCCTTAAGGGTCGTTATGGCTTTAGTAGCTCACTTTGATCTTGAGCTGCATCAAATGGACGTCAAAACAGCTTTCTTAAATGGAGATTTACACGAAGATGTTTAAATGATACAACCAGAAGGTTATGTTTCTAAGGGTCAAGAACATCTAGTGTAAACTCAAGAAGTCTATTTATGGGCTCAAGAAAGCGTCTCGACAATGGTACCTCAAATTTGATGAAGTCATGAAATCAAATGGCTTCATTAAAAACAAAGTAGATCAATGCACTTACCTCAAAATGAGTGGGAGCAAATTCATCATACTTGTGTTATATGTTGATGACATCTTATTAGCAAGTAGTGACTTGGATTTATTGCATGAAAAAAACGCTTATTATTTGGTCATTTTGACATGAAAGATCTAGGTGAAGCTTCTTATGTTATAGGCATTGAAATTCACCGAGATAGAGTCTGTTGAGGTTTAGTCCCGTAGATCCGAAAGCCCAACACACTCTTTGGATATTAAGGATGTAGGTTTGAGTCTAAAAGGTGTATAAAATATAAAACAGTGGATTAAGAGTGAACTCAAAAGCTAAACTTGCATTACGTGATTCTGCGATTACAGTGAACTGCCCGAACGGTACGTCGGATTAAGATATTGATATGCACTAATTAGTAGTGCATAAGTGTATGTTTTTATGTTTGATTTGTGTGGTTTGTTTACCGTTTTATTTAGTTTGTAAACATTTGTGTGATTTTAGTTGTAATTGTATTTTAATCTTCATTTGTAAGTTGTAAAGTAGAGTTAGGAATTAGGGTGTTGAAAAGGAGGACTTTGAAGTGAAGAAAAATAAGATTTGGCTGCCCAGAAGCAAAAACCCGACCGGGTATAATACTTCACCCGGTCGGGCATGACAAAGAATCAGAAACTGATGAGAAAGTCACTAGACCCGGGCGGGTCACTTATTTGACCCGGTCGGGTCAGATGTGACCCGGAACACCAGAACATGCCGAAGATCGCCAGAACGTGGGAAATATTTGATTTTGACGTTGACCCGGTCGGGTATGTCCTTTTACCCGGGCGGGTCAATGCCCCAGGGTGTTGAAAACACCTATAAATAACCCTATTTTCCTTCACAAAAAATGATTCCTTCTTCCATACTCTTAAGCTCAACTTAGAATAGTATTTCTTTTATATTTTTTTAGCATGTTTAGTCTCCAAATGAGGAGCTAAACTTCCATTTCTTGGTGTTGCTCTTGAAGCTTGTTGATTATTAAAGTTGTGAGTTATTTTCTTAACTTCTTCCCTTGAATATTAATTATTCTCTTAATCTATCTATATATTAATGTTGGGGAGTGTTGCCAGTGGCGGAACCAGAACAATTTTTAAGGGGTGGCTGAAAAGTATGTCAAAATCAAGAGGATCTAAAACATCTACTATTTTTACTACTCCCTCCGTATCACATTATCAGTCGCATTTGCTATTGCACGCAATTTAAAATGATTATTATACATTTTATAAAAAATAAGAAGTTTATGATACCGTAGCACTACTGTAACTGCTTTTATGGTGAGTTTCTTAAAGAAAATTAAATACGGAGTAATTAATTTGATGTGTCCTAAAAAAAGTAAGACAGATAAATTGATCCGGAAGGAGTATGATTTTTAGAGTAAAAATGACAAAGTGGACTACAAAGATCTCTAGTTGTGTACTCTCTTGTACTTGATTTCTAATGAACGGATCAAAGGCAATAATAGATTTTCGCAACTCGATCTAGATCAATAACAATATCATTTCGATTGAATTCCACAAGAAAATGTTTTTCCCTATGACGTTTGTTGTTATCTCGTTTAGCATACCCCTCACTCCGATTACAAATTGTGAAATAGATTGAGGTAACCTAACAAATTTTAAAATTTTAAAACCATAAATTATTAGAAGACGAATCACATACACATTAAAATCTGAAACAAATAAAACATATCCTAACAATTCACACCTTAGCCATTTCTATTTTCTGAAATTATTTAAACTACTAAAACAATTTGAAGGAGTAAACAAGTTAAATATTATTAAAAATCTAAAAGTTTGAAACAAGAAAATAGAAGAACTATAACAAGGAATTAAACAAACAATTGAGTAAACAAGACAAATTAAAAATCATACAACCCTAATGTAGTTGTCGTTTGTAGATGAGGTAGAGATGCTTGAGGCTTCACCCCTTCAGCCTCTGGCCAATCCTTACGCCGTAGAAGTCACCAAAATTTAATCGGTTGAAGAACTTTTTCAACTCCAAACAGCCAGACTCCATCCCTTGCTAATTGCTCTCACGTTCAGATTTGGGTTTAGACAATTTGGCCGGATAACGTCGATAAATTAAGCCTGCGGTCTCTGTCCATAAGTCAAACACGTGCCGCGACGTCGTTTTATTTTTTTAGAGACTCTTATCCAAACGGCATCGTTGGGATTAAGTAAATAAAAAACAAAAGATTTTCTCAGCTAAAGCCCGCAGAGTTCCACCGGCGACGGGAAAACAGAGGGACAAGAACAAGAACAGGGGTGGCTATGAAACATATACATATATATACTCTACTATTTCCGGCGAAGGGGTGGCGCCAGCACCGGCTAGCACCCCCCTGGTTCCGCCCCTGAGTGTTGCTAAGATGACAATTAGTTAACATCTCAACATTAGTTATAGTAGTATTTATTTTCTTCCTCTATATATTAATGTTGGGGAGTGTTACTAAGATGACAATTAGATAACATCTTGACATTAGTTATAGTAGGATTATTCATATTTAATCTTCTTCCTTGAATATTAATTCTTCCCTTAATCTATCTCTATGTTAATGTTGGGGAGTGTTGCTAAGATGACAATTAGTTAACATCTCGACATTAATTACTACTAGAAACGATCAACGAACCGATGGTTAATCGTTGATGGTTTCACAAGTAAGTAACTTCGGTTTATTAATGCACGGTCGTGGTTAATAAACTTAAGAGGGATTAATTTTGTTGGTTAAACCGAAACCGTTGTGTTGAGGTTATCAATCTCAATTGATTTCATCAAGGAGTTAAGAGATTAAAGGCTACTATTAAGTCGGTATATGGCGGTGTTCTATACTTGACTAATAGTAAGGGTTATTAATGAACGGTCGTTGTTAATAACTACTCTCGATGAATTGGATATACTCCTCGATTGAGTATTTGAGAGGGGATAAGTTATAGATATAACAATGATCGACTAAAATATATCAACAAGTGGAAAGTAGCAATGCCAAGTCCTTTTTATCTTTGAATTAAATCACATATAACTCGTTCATCTTCGTGTTTAATTTAATTAAATCACTCGATCCCAAAACCCCCCTTATTTACTAGTTCTATAAAAAGAGAATTATTCCTTTCCCTGTGGATACGAACTCTACTTCACCTATACTACGTATATGTGCTAGTATTGAATTTATTTTGATTGCACTCACGACAAAGTGCACGTCAGATATCATACAAGAACAAGAGAGATAATTATATTGCTCAGCTCTCAGTATCAAAATGCTAAACCTTTACAATGTATTCAACGCAGATATTTATATTAAGAAGGGGGTAGGTGGGATGATGACGTGGCTGAACCTGGTTGGCTGTTGCCTCTGCCGCCTTTGCACCCATGCCTCCACTTGCTACCGCCATATTTCAGCATTAAATGCAGTTGCCACTTGCACTTCCCGGTTGGGTACCCCGTTCGGGGCGCCGGACTTCCTAGTGGGTATTTTAAAGTCAGTATTTCGTTAATTAGCCTAAGTGGATAAATTACCCCGAATGTTGTTCAGGTACCATCCCGAACGGGATGTCTAGAATTTCTCTGGCCGCTTTGGGCTCCCCGCTTTCTCTGGGTCTTTCTATGTTCTGGTCCAGGTATGTTGGGCTTCGGCCCAATACCCCAACACAAGTCCCCCACTTCCTATGTCTCGAATGGTAGTGAGTGCATAAGGAAGTAGAAGAAATTTGCCCGAACACCGCTCGGGTATTTTTCGTCCCTCCTTCTCATTTCTCTTTTCTTGCCCGGTTAGCATGGCGCCTCGCCCACGCTCTTCCGTTCCTTCCACTTCCGAAGTGGTTCCTCAAAGGGAGGCTCCAGATGTTGCGACGGAAGATGTCAATGTAAATGCGGAGGTTTCCGGTGATGACGTCGGTGATGATGCCTCTTCTTCTAGTACCTACTCGGACGGTACGAAGTCCGGTGATGAGATTGATTCCATGGAGGCTGGTCCTCCAAACAATATTCCACGCCACAAGCTTGATTTAACCCTAATCAGGCTTAGGCGGGAGAAACTCACATGCCCGAATAGGGCCCAAATTCCAAACCTGATCCCGGACCCAGTTGATTTCCGTCTTTAATTTGGGCTTCACCCAATGCGCCACCTCCCGGGGATGGTAGTGGTCCATTTGGACTCGGTAAGAGCCGGGCTTAGGTTCCCGCTCCACCCCATTTTGTGTCTTTGTTAAACTTCTATGAGGTGGTCCCGGCCCAAATTATGCCGAACTCCTACCGGGCTATGGCCGGTTTTATCTGCCGCTATGTGGACGTTGAGGCGACGCCCACCCTGGACCTATTCCATTACTTTTACAAAGTTATCCCCCAGCAGGCCGAGGGGTATACCTGGTTGCGAGTGCTTGAACGAGTCATATCTTGTTCTCCCATTTCAAGGGGTGGAAAGATTGATTCTTCTTTTTTCTGTCCCGGACGGCCTGATCCCAAAGAAGTGGAACGTCTTCCCCAAAAAATCCCCTGAACCCTTTATCTCCGAGGAGCGGGCCGAAGATATTGTTGCCATTGAAAAGGGGAAAGTCTACAATATCATGGATTATCTGACTCCCAATCGAGCGGGCCGAGGAGTGCGTTGCTTTGACTGCTCTGAAGGTATTTTCCCTTTCTTGTACCTCTGATTTGTGTGATGTTTTCAAATCATGCCCCGATCTTTTTATTGTTTCCCGAACGTTCTATAGATGGGGCTCTATAGCCTGCAGTTACGGGAGGCCCGGCTGGCCAAGGAACGTGAACTTATTGTTGCCCAAGAAAATGCCGAGCAGGCCACCTCCAAGGCTATGCAGGCTGCCGAGACCGAACGACAGGCATTTGCTGAGGAGCGGAATAAGCTC